GGGATCGAACCCAGGTCGACAGCGTGATAGCCTAGGGCCTAAGTGCCCCATTGAGTTCTATAACATACTGCAGCGCTCGGAATTAGATGCACATTTCCGGGCCGATTCCCGAGACGACGCCTCCTGTTCCCCCACTACCGCTCGGCCGCCAGCGGCCGAGCGGTAGTGGTGGAACAGGAGGCGTTGTATCGGAAATCGGCCCGAAATGTGCAACTAATTCCGAGCGCTGACATACTGGAGCGAGCCTTCCTATCCCGAACAAAGAAAACTGCGTCCGCGATTTAGAAAAGGACACATATAGCAATGTGAGGATTTCTGTCTCTTTTTACGTTATGCTGAAAACATACGCTGGACAAGGAAGACTAGCCTCACGTAAATCTATCTGTCTTTTTCGACCGATGGAGACACCCCTCACTCCTGAAAGGCTCGCTCCAGTATGTTATAGAACTCAATCAGTGTTCCGATTAAGAACCGGTTTGTTTGCGCATGTGCGGCCATACGGCGTCAGTAAAGTGTCTCGTACATATAAAAAGAGGCACCGTTACCCAGCTTCATTTAAAGTAATAAAAATTTTTTTAATGTATTAAAAAATAAAATATATATGCATATATATATATATGTACAAAAATACATTATATATATATAATTTAATTATTTTATAAATTTTAATTATAATAAATAAAAAAGCCTTACCTTATTTCTATTTTCCTAACCTTATTCTGTCAAAAGTCCCGCGTAAAGTCTTGCACACGACGTGTGTCGGCACTGCATTTCCATCGCCGCGCAAGCGCAAAGCCACATATACGCTAAGCAACCGGTTCCTAATCGGAACACTGAACTCAATGAAGTGCCCGAGCTACGCCGCAATCTCGACAACCGATCCAACAGGACCGGAACATAAGGGACGCCATAAACTTCAAATCGATTTTTCTCGAAAACGGCTAAGCGTTGCGCCCTATCCTTTTACTCAAGTACTCTTCTGATAGAGTACTATACCATATAAAAATTTCTTTGAAATCGGTGACCCGAAGTCCGCGTCCTCCCCTTGTCAGTATTATTCTCACGGTTCGGATAGTAAACGCTCGACAGAAGGCCGAGGCGAGAAATACGCGATAGGCTAACTTCAAAGATTCTAACGCTCGGTACAGCAATACATCAATCGACGCGAAATTGTTACGCACAAAAAGACATTATTTCTTACAAAACGACTGTCGGCTCGGCAGTCCCGAGGGGAAAGAAGGCATGGCGAAATCTTAGTCTACAGAAGCGGTAGTCAGCGGGGCCCGGCCAAAATTTAATCTCGCACGATACCGCGAGACATCTCGGGATATGCTATATTCTTTACGCAAAATATGCGGGTTCTTAATTCCGTGAGGCTCGGGCCGCCTACTGATACCGCTCTTACCGCGAAGTCGAAGTGGTGGCCTTACAAATCGTCGGTACGCCCGTTGTGGTCCTCAAGGTTCCGCCCAGGTTGCCGACTCGCCGAACAGTGACGACCGGCTCGCCGGACAGCGGTGACATTTCGCGCATCGTCCTCGCTATCGATTAACGCTACTTGATCCTTCGATATCATCTAGTGATCTCGATCCTCGCGTCGCTCCTCGATATATCGGCCCTCGGTGACGCTTTTCCAAGGTGACCCCGTCTCTCTCTCTTCTGGCAGCTGCCGTTAACGTCCTTCGCGGCCTTTTCCGTTTCCGGATCTGAACCTTCTTTGAATCGGCCGGGAACTGGCCAGGTTCCGACCTGATTCTGCTTTCCTGGCTCGTTACGACAGCTCCTTTTTCGGGTACTCCACCCCGGGTCTTCGGCGTGTGAGAGCGCGCTTCCCTCTCGGGCGTCATCTCTCTCGGTGCGTTCACCGGCCTCGATATGCTCCGAATCTGAAACGGTACTTGCGGTAGCAACTGTGTCTGGAATCGAATTATACAAGCAAGGGTATTTCTACTTGCCCTTATTCTGGATTTGTCTGCACGCCGTTCGGGCCTCCGTCGTCCTGCCTGCTGAGTCCCTCGCAGGTCCCACGAAGGCTGCTCCATCTCAATTCACAATATGGGAGTTTGGCCACTCACCACGACTCGCGCAATTTGCTACAACGCAAAATCTATAATCTCAAAAGAGAATTAAGAGGGAGAGGTACAGTCGCCCCCCGCGGTGGGGTCTCCGACCTCAAATTTCCCTCCTCGATCGGGCTTTCTCGCCCTTGTGACGGACTTCAAAAATGTCACGTCACAGCAGATATGGATTAAAAAAAGCGAAGGAAGATGCAATAGAAATAAAGCATTACATATTCGTAATTGACACAAAACTATTTTGCAATAATATCGATTAAATTTTTTCAAAAATTGATTTTTTAAACCTTTTTTTACAAAAATAATATATTATTTTCATAGAATTTTTTAACTATAGCATATCATTTTACTCTGTGTTTCATATGTTTTATTAAATTTAATATATTCTTTTTTATATGTGCGAATATTTTAAATAACATTTTAAATAACATTTTAAATAAATAATAAATTATGACGCAATCGCACGAAATTCCAATGTGTAAATTTACTGCACCCATATATTAAATTAAAAATAAAGAAAACAACTATGTATGGATGCAATAAATTTACATGTTGGCGCTTTGCGATTGCGTTATAATTTATTATATTTTTAAAATCTGCTAAAATTCTTTTTACAAATATCGCAGAATTTGTCCTAAAAACGCAATCTGTCAAGTCCAGAAAAATGTAATTTCTGGACTCTAAAATAGTTTTTAAATCGCAATTTTTATTACTTGTCTTTGGGCGCAGTATTTTATTCAATAGGAGATACACTCCAGGCGAAAAGTTTGGATACACTTAACAAAAATGTGATAAATTATTATAAAAAAATATTTTATTAGAAAAAGTTGTTCAAAATAATCTGAAATTATTAACTAAATTAATAAAAGAAAAAATATTTACAGTTTAACATAAATCTTACACTTTTTCAAACATAAATCTTAAACACTCTTTTCGTCGAAAAAACCACCCTTAGCTTTCAAAACCGCATTTACAAGTCGTGGCATTCTGGCGACAAGTTTATTTAGTGTTTCTTGTGGCAGGGATGTCCAGCAATCTTGTAACACCCGCCAAAGTTCAGGAGCTGACGATGGACACACCAGGCGGACTTTTCTATCGAGCTCCTCCCACAATAATTCGTTAGGATTAAGATCTGGTGATTGCGGTGGCCAGACCATGTTCGAAAGAGTGCCATTTGCTTCTTTTCCTTCAACAAACCCTCGACAAAGACGTGAGCTATGCTTTGGATCGTTATCCTGTTGCAGAATGAATCCTCGGCCGATTTTTCTAAGACCGGAGGGTATCGCGTGCGTCTGCAGAATCCGTTTATAGTCTTCCTTTTTCATAATACCTTCAATTTTTACTAGATCTCCAGTGCTATGTCCCGAAAAACATCCCCACACCATAATGAAACCACCCCCATGTTTTACTGTGGGCATTATGCATTGTGGCGCCATTTTTTCTGTACTGCTTCTTCTCACGTAAAT